ACCAGAAACCTGCCCACCAAGCCAAAAGAGACAAAGTAAGAAATTTTCCATCTTGCAAATAAACCCCACAATTGAAATCCGGAACAACCAATTAGAGGGAAATTAGGCCAAAAAGAACTTTACACAAGGGCTTTCAAGTCAGTGTAGCTAGCTTTCTTCTGAATGGAGAAGAACTCCTTGGTCTGGCTATCAGTAGCTACAAGAACAGCACAGAGAACAGCAAGCCCACAAATCAAGATTCTAAGAACCAGCTCAGCTAGCCTCACTCTTCTGTCAATCACCTTCACGCTTTTGCCATGGTAGACTGGGACATTTCCAGGACTAACTCCAACTCCCAAATAACTCATCTTTACCTCCCAAAATGCCAAGCTAACAGAAAGAAGAAGATGGGCAGGTAAAGCACAGAAGATAACCTCAGAAGAAGAAAAATTAGGAAGATGGGTTTCTCTTTCCTTTACTAAAAGAGTGAAGTAATGAGTTTTTCTCGTTCACACCACTGAATAAGAACAAAGCCAAAGGTGGAGGCTTTATATAGAGAACCCACAAGCGCATTAACCATTCTGAGGTGGGAGTTTTTTTTTTTTTTCATTTTCTGAAGAAGAAAAAAAATCTATTTTTTCTCAAATTGAAGAGGTAAATGATGGCTGACAGTTCTGAGGGGAAGCCTGTGAGGGTGCCATTTGGTCAAAAACTGCAACGAGCCGTACAGTAAAGGGTGGGGCAAACGCAAAATGATGGAAAGGGCCATTAGGCCATTAAAACTGAGATGGGAGTTGGGACCTAATCTTCAGATTATGTAATATGTTTACTATTGGATCATCATTATTCATAACCCACTATGTTGTTTTGAGTGTCCATTTCAGGCTCCACGTTACAATCTTTTGATCATAACTTTTTTACATTTTATTTTATAGGAGTTTGAAGTACAACTAAACTTCAAACTTTTGTGTTTAAAAAAAGATGTGCCTAGGAATTAGAGTTGAACGCAAATGTTGTTATGTCAATATAAGTTCGAGAAGTCATAATCATATGTGATTTTACTACACATAATAGTTGGAGCTTCAAAGGATTGTAGTATTATTTCATGTCAATAAAATTATGTATATGTGCACACAATATATCATTGTCATTCGTAAAGGTAAAAAGATGAACAGTAAGTCGGTGAATACTTATAAATAATCGATAAATCACACATCAATTACGCGTAACCATACATTTGCAAAAATAACAAATCGTTTATCGGCATTTTGCAAATAACAATAGCATATTATATGCACCCAAGTTCTAGCATTTATCATACTCCGCACCACGTTCGGTATATTCAAACCAAAGTTGGATTTTTCTTTCTACTCCTAGCCTAACGAGTACATAACTTTTACCAACACGCTCCATGTTGGTCGGCTATCTAGTAATTTGCATTGAAGTATGGATCGCAATGAAGAGGGAAGTGGAAACATATTATCGAGATGAAAATTTCGCTTCCTCTGCCTTTAATGGACAGACTCTGTTCTCTAGGAAATGAGAAACAGAGCATTACCCCATTTCCTTCCTTCTAACCCGTCCCGTAGGATTTTTTTTTTTCCTTCGCCCCAAGACAAAAGGGAAAGAGAGGGGGAAATCGGAAATGGGTAATGGTTTTTACTGATAAGATGATTAGATGAGGCCCCATCACTATTTTTAACTCTCTTCTTCCTCTGTCTCTCCATTGTTTTGTTTCCAACGCAAGTTACTCTCTCTGTTTTCCATTTCTCGAGACAAATGTGGGAACGGGGTTAAAGAAGAATGGATTTCATTACTCATGGATGGGACCGGTAATGTGAAACCAATAGTTTATCTTCGTGGGCCAGCGGGGCACTGGGCCCGGGCAAGTGATTTGGGCCTCAGAGTGTGATGGTGGTGGTGGGCCATGGGTTTTGCTACGTGTCATTCGTGGCCGAGGCAGCCAACTACTTCATTCCACTCCACCAACGTGAGCCACCCAAAATCCCTATTCAACAAAAAAGGGATTCATGCCCGTAATCAAGTTTATGAGAGCACGCTTATCGTTAATTTAATGATATTTTTGTTTGACAGTTCGGTTTACTGTCATACAATTTATTTTCATCATATAAAATATAAATTTCTTCGAATTATGTGCATACATTATAACACAAATTATCAGCATCATCGAAATGATTGTTCTTTGTATTTGTGAGATTTTTTATTATCGAAAATGAACCGTGTAAAGGTATTAATCCATAGAGTAACACATAAATTCGCGACAGAATCAAACCATACCACAATGGTAACAAAGCAAAATTCATTGCTTTCCTAATAAACTTTCAAACGATTTAACTCAATTGTAAGAAGATGGTAGGAAAAAATTGAGGCAGAGCTAATAAATGGAATGTGGAAATCTAGAGATTCTGATCTAAGGGGTTCGTCACTTTCCATGACAAGTGCCCATAACTTCTGCCAAAAATTTCATCATAAGGGCAATAAATAGCAAATCAAATAAATGTGCTAGCGATTGCCTTCCATTAATAATATGAAAGTGATGAAACTCTAGCCTGGCATTCTATCTTCTGGCAATCAAACAAATACATAACACTAGGTGCGTGCAACGATTCGGTACAGTCTGAATCAATATTTGGATCGAATCAGATTATATATATTTCGATTCAATTTTGGTCATAAGTATAAAAAATAAACGGACGAAATTGAATTTAACCGGATCGAATCGAACCAAATGAACCAAACATACTTTTGATCTGGTTATTATCCTCCTTTTCCTTTGCCAATTATTACACGGTGATATATCATGTTCTCTCTTCCCTTCTTCTGGAAGAGTGTGGTGGTGACGAAACCAATCTCTCATTGAACCTTGATTGCTGCGATGATATGGGGAAACGACAATAAATTGAAGGGTGAGCACATGCATGTTTTATGTATTGGCCCATGCAATGAATGAATGAATGAAATCGGAAATTGCACACCACGTTGTTATAGTTATAGCACAAATGTCACCCTAAAATAATGTGAGGTGTTGCTATGGTTTGAAAATAGATTATTTGTTGTCGACTGAAAGTTGTAAATTCTCACCATATACATATTCTCAATCTCTATAAATCTGTATATCGTCAAGTATAACAAAATTGGTCTCTCCAATCCGTAAATTAGCCAATACATTACACATCGGTATTAATGATCATATGTTATTTACTTTTTTTATCATTAATTTAATGGAACTATATCAATAGGAAAAGAAGCTTAACCGTCGTTTATAGACGTGCAATTAACCCTCGCATAATTAGGGTGCAATGTAAGGAAAAGAGAGATTTGATGAGAGACTTTAGTATCATCATCGAATACATACTTTCTTCTTTTGGAAGATGTAATTAATGGCCACACGAAAGGAAACTTACTCGAGATCAATGGGATTTCAATCCCTCATCAGTCATTAGTAACTTGTATAAGAAAGTGAAAAGTTTTCATCTTTCTCTTCATAACTTAAAAAAAAAACAACAACAAAGAGAACCATGGAAGTGAGCGTCCCTGTCCACCTCACTCTCTCCCGCAGCTTCTCCTCCTCCCTTCCGGCCGACGACCATTCCAAGTCGCAATTCTACACCCTCCTTTCCTCCATGCTGTCCCGCCGCCGTCAACCCATCACCACCGTCCACATCGACCACCGCCCGGAAAGGTATCTCCTTTTTTTTTAATTAACATACATCGTGTTAGTGAACCCTACGTTGTGAAAAATGTTAGTGTCGTAACAACATGCATGATATGACAATAATACGATATTTGGTTGACTCTTGCATGCAATTAAGGGTGGACCTCGGTGATCTGTACTTCGTCCTGGAACACGCTTCTGAGCTCAAGTCCTTATCGGTCAACCTCGGCGTTGACGGCTACGACTTGGGCGTGATCGCGCCTTACATCCGGCACCACCGCCGGCAGTACGATCCCCTCGAGACTCTCAGGCTGGAGAGAGCGTACTGCGGGTTTCTCGAAGGTACGGACTCCTACGAGGGTTTCAACAAGCTGACGACGTTGGAGCTTAAGGACTGCCGTCTTTACTCTCCTTACGACGGCGAAACCGTCCTCGACGTCGATCCTTTCGCCACGCTTCCTCTTTTGAAGCACGCGAAGATGGTGAACTGCGTTTCCAGTGGGCCGGTGAGGGTGACTGGGCCTGAGCTGTTGACGTTGGAGATTGTGACGGTGGGCCCGGTGGTGGGTTTGGGCCACGACATGGGCTTCGAGCGGGAGAGGCCGCTCCAGCTCGGGAAGGTGTCGGCTCCGAGGCTGGAGTCGTTCCGGTTCTCGGGTCGGGTGAGTGACTTGCCGTCGGTGTTGTTGCTTGGCGGGGAGGTTAGGTTTCCTTCTCTCGAGCGTGCTAGGGTTGAGCTTGTTTTGTCGGAGCCGGTTGATGAGCAGTTAGGAGTGCTGGGTCGTGCTTTTCGAGACGTGATGGATGGACTGCGCAATGCGGAGTCTCTCGACCTGTGTTTCGACGTCGACAAAAAGGTACGTACCTACGCATGCGTACATATTCATTCGCGAAGTTGTACTTAGTCAGAAATATATCTTGGTACATGTAACATGTTTGCACTTTGCACGCTTGTAATTTTGTTTTGTGTTTTCCGTTTTGGCTAGTCGGCGGTGCATTTGGAGCAGTGGAAGCGGTCCGAGTTTCCTCTTACCGCGATGAAGTCGGCGGTTTCTGATTTTACAAGATTGAAGACTTTGAAGATTCGGTATCCAGAAAATGAGCTGCCAAACGTGTCTTATCAAGAGATCCAGTGTCGCTTTGAAGGCTCGAGTTGTGTTGAAGAAACCATAACTTACGTTTGAGGATGTTTTTAATTAGGGGTTTGATTGTCTCACGAGTATTGTCATTTTGATGCATGTTCTGTGTTAGTTCATGTAGCTTTGAATAAATTATGGTACTTTTTAGACTTTTTTTTGGTTTTTTTTGCATGAGAAGTTATTATGGTTATTTTATACTCTCATGGATCAAGGAATTGCTTAAAATCAAGCTCTCTTTTTTTTCATGAGGCTCATCATTGTCATATAATGAAGCCTCCAAGGAATTATAAGGAATCAAACATATATAGGCACATTTCAGACAACCCATTTCAATTTAGTATCTCCGCAAATTTGATGAAAACTCTATTAGCAAAATACGGCCTTAAGGAAGCGAAGCAGTCAAGGCAGATACTCAAACTTGCATGAACCTTGACCTGCCATGAATCATCAAACAATACTGGAGGATCAGAAGGCATTAGAAATTAAACTCAATCTTAGAATGTGGATTTGGACTTACTTGGATCAAGATCAGTGACCATGGCAGCAGAATTGAAGTAACAGGTAGCACCCTTTCGCTTGAACATCTGGTAGTAGCTGTTGAAGGCAAAAGAGGCACGGTCCTTGATGGAGTCAGGGAAGTAACAAGGCTGGCCCTTTTGTATCTTGGAGCAATCTCCACCTCCTTTCCCACACGCCCACTCCATTGCCCTCTGCAGCTCGTCAGCTGGGGTCTGCTCATCTGCTATGCACCATTCTTTGAAGTTTTCCCATTCATCGTCCTCCTTCCCCTCTGCACTCCACATTCAAACACAATCATTAGTTCCAAATCCATAGATGGATTTCGACTGTTGTAAGGCGCGTTATCAGCAAATACAAGACACGAGATTTACGTGGTTCGACTGACAAATGCATGATATGGTAGTTGTTGTGTAGTTATTACCTGATCTATGTGGGAAATGGGAAGCCAGGAGAAGCAAAAGCAGAGATGCTATTAGTGAAGGGGTTCTGAATGAAGTTGCCAGAGACAGAGACATGGTGGTGGTTCTTATTAAGATGGGAATGTAGTGATATTTGGAGGAAAAGGAATGGAAACTATGTGGAGGCATGGTTTATGTATATGTGTTCATACAAAAGGTTTTAGCAAAGATTCCTGTCCTGTTGCCATATGTTTGCTTTACTTCAATCCCAAGGTAAGCATATGTGTTGAGTTGGATTTTATACAGAGAGCTGCTAATTTTGTTGGTCTTTGTCCAAAGTAAAAAGTGGACATAATCATTTGTCTTTGATTCCTACATCATTTTTTTTTAGATTTTTTTTTTCTAAATTCGAATATTCTTGAGGAATTTTACATTGCTTTCAAAGTATTGGCGTTTTATTATTTTTTATATTTATGCTACAATTTGAATTTGTACATTTAACATTACGGTACAATTTTAGGTTGTACCTATACTTCTTTGTATGAATCTCTTTATGGTACAAACTAAAATGGTACCTTTATATTATAGTACAATTGAAGTCGTACCATAACATAAATGTACAAATTCACTTCGCGTACAATTTCGAATTGTACTTTAAAACACCAATACTTTATAGTATAGTAAAAGTTGTTTGTCACTCGATGAAACTCGATCCACTATAAAATACACATAAATTACGAAATATATTTGTGAAAATTAGCCTCATATTCCATCCTATTAATTAATATACCAAAAATATGTTAATTATCCACGTATTCTATTGTGGGATTTCTCATAGGACATGGACTTTTGGAGTGCAGGACTTTCCTAATTCATTGCTGCATACCAAATTCCAAATACGAAATGGATTTCACAATGCAATTTTATTAACACGTGTCTTCCCCTTTTCTTTTTAGAAAAACAACACAACCAAACTCTATAAATAATTTTGAAAATATAACTCTACACCCTCCCACTCCACTTCAATCAACATTAACTCATCGAACCAACAACATCGTAGTAACCTTTACATCGATCGACATCGATCATAATGTTACTCACCATGGACGACGTGAAGGAGAAGCTCGACTTCACAAACACGAAGAATAAGAAGTTGACTCCTTTCGAGTGGCTCCTCGCCATCACTCCCATCGCCTTGGAGAAGCTCCACCGCCAAGAAAAACACGAACGGCTCGCCAAAGAGAGCCAACTCAAAAAACCCATCGTACCTCAAACAACAACAACAACAACAACCCTAGGGCAGGATCATGATCAACATCAGACACCGTCGATAAAGCGAAAACGTAACGTGTTCGAACGTACTAGAGAAGACAGAAAGAAGAAGAAGAACGTGTCGAGTATGAGGAGGAGGAAGATCGACCGGGACTACTTCGTCGACGACCCACGGCTCGAGCGAGCCACGATCCCCGAGAGGTTCCGCCACCACATCGAAACGAACTTGAACGGGAGGGACATTAAGTTGATAGTGCAGAAGCGGCTGTACGAGTCCGACCTGAAAACCGGCGAGGGACGGCTGTCCATCCCGGCCAAAAAGATGTGCCAAGGCCTACTGACGACGAAAGAGGAGGAGTGGCTGAGGACCCGGGACCGCGGGGAGGCGGTTCCCTCGATGGAGCTGTTGCTTCTGGACCCTGAGCTTGGGGAAGGCAAGATCGTGTTCAAGCTCTGGGAGATGAACAAGCCGAACGGGACGACGAGCTATATGTACGTATTGGCGCGGTACTGGAACCATGTGGTTAAGAAGAATGGACTTAAGACAGGGGAAGTGGTTCAAGTGTGGGGGTTTAGGATGGGAGAGGATGAGCCAGGGAGGTTAGGGCTTGCTCTGGTTAGGCTCGCTAAGGAAAATGGTGGTGAGGTTTGAGTAGTAGTAGCTGATCATGTGATGGAGTATAGAATTGTGGCTAGCTAGGGTGAGTTTGTATATCTAGGGTTAGGGTTGGAGTATTAGTTATATTTGATTGGACAATGAATTCATTGGTTGATTGTTCTACAGGTTTGTTCAATCGATCTGATCCGGTTCTTATAACAAGGATAAAACGCATGGTTGAGATTCGTCTAAGTATACATATGTAATGGATACAAGACAAGGGATGTTCTCAATCGATAATATTATCGATACCGTAAAGCATCAAAAGGGGGTTTCAGGACAGCTTAAATATGATCACATCAGAATTCAAACCTGCCCTCATAAGCTAAGTCGGTAGAGCAAAAGCTGCTGGAATTTGTGAAAGCCTCTTGTCCAGTTTCTACTAATTCCCTAACCGAAATCACTGTCATCCTGTTTCCACTAGCAACTAAGAATAACAGAAGGACAATGACTATCAAGAAATGCACCGAAACGTTCTGCATTGCCTTTCTTCAACTATAGCAGCCGAAGACTATCACCAATGCTTATACAAGCACAATGCAACCGAGGTGCATCACGATCCATGAATAACTCTAAAATAACACAGCACCTTAATTCAACATACAGAAGTTGTAGCCAAATGAAGAGCAATTACGCAACCATTTACGAGAATGCTCATACAAAATGTATGAAATGCACGAAATGACACACTCTCAAGCACATTCCAAGCTGCCACTTGCAGGTATCAATGAAGAGTTCAGAATTCTTGTTCAAACTGACCAAAGCTAAGCAAAATGCAAAGAAACCAATGAAGGAAGCCATACTGACATATTCCATTTCAGTAGCTGCCAAGACGAGCACAAATGGCCATTTGCAATCCAAGCTAACAGAGGAAAGTGAGGAAATTTTTCACATTGCAGGAATCCCAGAATTTGAAGATTATTAATTGATTCACAAGCATCATTATCCTAACCATGAAACAAACTAAAAAAAGAAGATGGAACAGAAAAGCAAATTCATTTGCATTTGTAAAATTTCCCCCACCCTCTTCAGTTCTTGAAACCAATCTTCTGATAACGAGCAACCTCACCCTCGTTAGGAAAGAACCCCATCATTCGCCCCGCCGAGTTCTGGTAGGCGTACATGAACCCTCCCATCAACCCAATCAATCCCCCAGTCACCATTGACGGCCCCTTCAACCCTGGCTTAATCCCTAATTCGATTAAAAACAACAACAAGCGCCACCATCAGAAATTCGTCCGCATCCAAACACAAAGACGAGGAATTCATTTCCGTTCCTTAAATGGGAGGGAGAAAGAGAGAGACAGGGATCGAACCTGAGAGGTAGCCCACGGTGACGGAGATGCCGGTGATGGTGGTGAAACGGAGGTAATCCAAAGTGTTAAAGTTGCCAACGACCTTGCTAAACGCCGGATTCCGATCTACCACCGGGTACTCCGGCTTCGTCGACGCTGTGATGTCGGTGTTCATTTCTCTTCTCCTCCGGCGGATTCTCTCTCTTCACTCGATTTCTCTGTTCTTCAGCTGCTGATCCAAAAAAATGCTCGAACCAGTCGTGAAAATGGCGACGGACGAGCTTAAAGAAAATCGTGGTACCGGAAACAAGGCCATGGGCTCGACTTTCACAATTGGGCCCGGCTCGAGAAAGCCTGAAATGGCCCATAATGGACGGGCCGAAAATGGGCAAAAGGACGGACTTATTTTCTTGTTACTGAAACCCAAAATGGTCATTTTGGGTAATTCCTGCAGCTTTCGCAGTCACCTCTCTGTTTACCCTGCAGTACCCGTCGTCGTATAATAGCCAGGCAGTAACTTGATAAGCAAGAAACCCAAAAATCCCCAAATTTTACACACCCAAATCCCTAATTCTTACCACATTTTTTGTTTTCTGTTTCTTTTCTTCCCTCGCAAATGCCTTCTTCTCTTCCCCTATTCATTCCGTTGGGGTGGTTTTGAAAGGGGGTTTCCGAGAAAGAAACAAGAACAGAGAGAAATGAGGAAACAGAGCACACTGCTGCTGAAATCGGACGACTTTGCCGGCGTGATCCCGCAACGGAAATGGACTCGCTTCGACTATCTGCTCGCCGTCGCCAAATTTGCACTCAAGAAGCTACGGCAAGAAGAAGAGCAACGGAACTTCCATCTCCGCCGCCGCCTCTCCCATTTGCCTCCTCTGCCACCGACCGGGCGCCGCAAGTTTGGCTCTTTCCGCTCGATTGCCGCCGAACCCAAGAAGAAAATCGAAATGGGTAAAATGGGCAAGAAGAAGAAGAACAAGAAGCGGGGGAGGAAGGGAAGAAAGACCCAAGAAGAGGCTTTCGGCGGGATGGGTTTCTGTCCGCCGCTGCCGGAGCGATTCGCGAGGTACATCGACGAGGTGAGAGGGAGGGAAGTGAAGATGGTCATACAGAAGCGGCTGTCGAGGAGCGACCTGGACCACAGCCAATCGCGGCTGTCGATCCCGCGCCGGGCGGTGGAGGAAGAGTTCCTGACGGCGGAGGAGGCTGCGGCGATGGGGAAGCGCTGGGGCACGCATGGGTGCCGGCTGAGCGGGGTGGACGCCCGGCTGATTGTGGAGCCGGGGGAGAAGGAATGGGTCGTGCATCTGAAACAATGGGGCACGGTCAGCGGCATGGGGAACTACGTTCTGACGTCGCGGTGGAACAGCGTGGTGGAGGAAGTGAAGTTTGAGGAAGACGACGCGATTCAGTTGTGGAGCTTTAGGGTCGGCGATGAAGGCGGCGGGGAATTGAATCTGGTTTTGGTTCGATTGGGTATGTGAATTGGGGGGATTTTGTGGGGGGGAATTTTTGGGGCGCCGCCATTCATGGCGCACGGCGGCGAGGAGGACCGGAGTATGCCGTTCAACTGAGTTGTGGATTAGCTGTGTTTGTTCTTTTCCTTTCTAGTTAGTCATCATCATTTGAGATTAGTGTACATAAGCTAGATATCCAGAGCTTCTAATGACAAATTGTGCTCTTTCCTTTCACCTTTTTGGGCCAAGTGAGCTGTAACTAGGCCCATACAAGTAACGAATGAACATTGGAAAACCATATGAGTTGAACTTATTGGGAAGAAATCCAACAAAAATGGTACTTGGAAAAAAAAAAGTAGCCAAAAAATATACGAAAATATCATCCTAAAAGTAATTCCTCCAAATTGTTGCTTAATGGACTTAATCGTCGGTGGAGAATAGGATCCATAGACTTCACCATCGGTGGAGAATAGTCTCGAGCCGAATCCGTGATCCGTAGCCTTCAATGGACTTAATCATCCTTGACGAATAGTCTCAGGGCGAATATGTGATGTGTAGCCTTCAAAATCCAAGTAAAATGGCCCTTCGAAAGAATAATCGCCCAAAAAATTACGAAAATGTCATCCTAAAAGTAATTCCCCCAAATTGTTGCTTAATGGACTTAATCATCGGTAGAGATTAGGATCCATAGACTTCACCATCAGTGGAGAATAACCTCAGGCCGAATCCGTGATCCGTAACCTTCAAAATTGAAAGAAAATGGCATTTCAGAAAAATCGTCCTACATCTGTGATGGTACCCTTTTGAATCTGACAAAAATTGACCCGGAATAAATACGCTCAAATCAGTGCTTAATGGACTTAGTCATCCTTGAAGAATAGTCTCAAGGCGAATCTATGATCTGTAGCCTTCAAAATCCAAGTAAAATGGTCCCTCGAAAAAAAATCGCCCAAAAATTACGAAAATGCCATCCTAAAAGTAATTCTCCTAAATTGTTGCTTAACAGACTTAATCGTCGGTGGAGAATAGTTTCCATAGACTTCCCCATAGGTGGAGAATAGTCTCGGGCAATTTTGGAATCGGACAAAAATTGACCCGGAATAAATCCGCCAAAATCTGTGCTTAATGGACTTAGTCATCCTTGAAGAATACTCTCAGGGCGAATTTGTTAGCTGTAGCTTTCCAAATTCAAGTAAAATGTCCATTCGAAAAAAAATCGCACAAAAAATTGCGAAAATGTCATTCAAAAAGTAATTCCCGCAAATTGTTGCTTAATGGACAAAATCGTCGGGGGAGAATAGGATCCATAGACTTCACCATCGATGGAAAATAGCATCTGACCGAATCCGTGATCCGTAGTGTTCAAATTGAAAGAGAATGGCATTTCGGATAAATAGCGCTAAATCTGTCATGATACCTCATTTGAATATGAGAAAAATTGACCGGGAATAAATCCGCCCAAATCGGTGCTTAATGGACTTAGTCATCCTTCAAGAATAGTCCCAGGCCGAATCTTTGATCTGTAGCCTTCAAAATCAATGTACAAAGGTCATTCGAAAAAAAATCGTCCAAAAATTACAAAAATGCCAAGGGGGTACCATCACAGATTTCAGGCAATTTTTTCGAAATGCCATTTTCTTTCGATTCTAGAGGCTACAGATCACGAAATTATGCCGAGACTATTCTCCACTGATAATGAAGTCTATTGATCCTATTCTCCACGGTTCATAAGTCCATTAAGCACCGATTTAGGCCAAATTTTTTTTGGATGGTATTTTCGTAATTTTTTGGGCGACGAAAGGGCATTTTCTTTACATTTTGAAGCCTACAGATCACGGATTCAGCCTGAGCATATTTTTCAACGATGATTGAGTCCATTAAGCACCGATGTGGGCGGATTTATTCCGGGTCAATTTTTGGCAGATTCCAAAGGGGCACCATTACAGATTTCAGGCAATTTTTTCGAAATGCCATTTTCTTTAGATTCTGGAGGCTACAGATCGCGGAATCAGGCCGAGGCTATTCTCCACCGATAATGAAGTCTATCAATCCTATTCTCCATGGATGATAAGTCCATTAAACACCGATTTGAGCCAATTTATTTGCGAATGGCATTTTCGTAATTTTTTGGGCGACGAAATGCATTTTCTTTGGATATTGAAGGCTACAGATCAGGGATTGGGCCTGAGGCTATTCTTCAACGATGATTGAGTCCATTAAGCACCGATTTGGGATGATTTATTCCGGGTCAATTTTTGGCAGAATCCAAAGAGGTACCATCACAGATTTCGTGCGATTTTTATGAATTGCCATTTTCTTTCGGTTCTGGAGGCTATAGATCACAGAATCAGGCCGAGGCTATTCTCCACCAATAATGAAATCTATTGATCCTATTCTCCATGGATGATAAGTCCATTAAGCATCGATTTGAGCCAATTTATTTTCGGATGGCATTTTTGTAATTTTTTGTCCGACGAAAGGCCATTTGTTTTTTATATTGAAGGCTACAGATCACGGATTCAGCCTGAAACTATTCTTCAACGATGATTGAGTCCATTAAGCAACAATTTGGACGGATTTATTCCGGGTCAATTTTTGGCAGATTCCAAAGGGGTACCATTACAGATTTCAGGCGATTTTTATGAAATGCCATTTTCTTTCGATTCTGGAGGCTACAGATCGTAGAATCAAGTCGAGGCTATTCTCCACCGATAATTGAGTGTATTGATCCTATTCTCCATGGATGATAAGTCCATTAAGCATCGATTTGAGCCAATTTATTTTCGGATGTCATTTTCGTAATTTTTGGGCGACGAAAGGCCATTCTCTTTGGATATTTAAGGCTACATATCACGAATTCTGCCAGAGGCTATTCTTCAACGATGATTGTGTCCATTAAGCACCGATTTTGGGGGATTAATTCCGGGTCAATTTTTGGCAGATTCTAAAGGGGTACCATCACAGATTTTGGGCGATTTATCCGAAATGCCATTTTCATTCTATTCTGGAGGCTATAGATGGAATCTGGCTGAGGCTATTCTCCACCGATAATAAAGTCTATTGATCCTATTCTCCACAGATGATAAGTCCATTGAGCACCGATTTTGGCCAATTTATTTTCGGATGGAATTTTCATAATTTTTTGGGTGACGAAAGACCATTTTCTTTGGATATTGAAGTCTACAGATCACGGATTCAGGCTGAGGCTATTTTTCAACGATGTTTGAGTCCATTAAGCACCGATTTGGGCAGATTTATTCCGGGTCAATTTTTGGCAGATTCCAAAAGGGAACCATCATAGATTTCGGGCAATTTTTTCGAAATACTATTTTCTTTCGATTCTAGAGTCTACAGATCACAGAATTAGGCCGAGACTATTCTCCACCGATAATGAAGTCTATTGATCCTATTCTCCATGGATCATAAGTCCATTAAGCACCGATTTAGGCCAATTTATTTTCGGATGGTATTTTTGTAATTTTTTGGGCGACGAAAGGGCATTTTCTTTGGATGTTGAAGGCTACATATCACGGATTCAGCCTGAGCATATTCTTCAACGATGATTGAGTCCATTAAGCACCGATGTGGGCGGATATATTCCGGGTCAATTTTTGGCAGATTCCAAAGGGGTACCATCACAGATTTCGGGCGATTTTTATTAAATGCCATTTTCTTTCGATTCTGGAGGCTACAGATCATGAAATCAGGCCGAGGCTATTCTCCACTGATAATGATGTCTATTGATCCTATTATCCATGCATGATAAGTCCATTCAGCACCGATTAGAGCCAATTTATTTTCGGATGGCATTTTCGTAATTTTTAAGGGGACAAAATGCCATTTTCTTTGGATATTGAAGGCTAAAGATCACGGATTGGGCCTGAGGCTATTCTTCAACAATGATTGAGTCCATTAAGGGGTACCATCACAGATTTCAGGCGATTTTTATGAAATGCCATTTTCTTTAGATTCTAGAGGCTACAGATCACGGAATCGGACCGAGGCTATTCTCCACTGATAATGATGTCTATTGATCCTATTCTCCATGGATGATAAGTCCATTAAGCACCGATTTGAGCCAATTTATTATCGGATGGCATTTTCGTAATTTTTTGTCCGACGAAAGGCCATTTTCTTTGGATATTGAAGGCTACAGATCACGGATTGGGCCTGAGGATATTCTTCAACGATGATTGAGTCCATTAAGCTTCAATTTGGGTGGATTTATTCCGGGTCAATTTTTGGAAGATTCCAAAGGAGTACCATCACAGATTTCGGGCGATTTTTATGAAATGTGATTTTCTTTCGATTCTGGAGGCTACAGATCACTAAATCAGACCGAGGCTATTCTCCACTGATAATGATGTCTATTGATCCTATTCTCCATGGATGATAAGTCCATTAAGCACCGATTTCTGCTAATTTACTTTCGGATGGCATTTTTCGTAATTTTTTGTCCGACGAAAGGCCATTTTCTTTGGATATTGAAGGCTACAGATCACGGATTGGCCCTGAGGCTATTCTTCATCGATGATTGAGTCCATTAAGCACCATTTGTGTGGATTTATTCCGGGTCAATTTTTGGTAGATTCCAAAGGGGTACCATCACAGATTTCGGGCGATTTTTATGAAATGCCATTTTTTTTCGATTCTGGAGGCTACAGATCACGGAATCAGACCGAGGCTATTCTCCACTAATAATGATGTCTATTTATCCTATTATCCATGCATGATAAGTCCATTAAGCACCGATTAGAGCCAATTTATTTTTGGATTGCATTTTCGTAATTTTTTGTCCGACGAAAGGCCATTTTCTGTGGATATTGAATGCTACAGATCACGGATTGGGCCTGAGGCTATTCTTCAACGATGATTGAGTCCATTAAGCACCAATTTCGGTGGATTTATTCCTGGTCAATTTTTGGCATATTCTAAAGGTGTACCATCACAAATTTCTGGCGATTTTTATGAAAGGCCATTTTCTTTTGATTCTGGAGGCTACAGATCACGGAATCAGACCGAGACTA